CTTCTGCCCTTTCCCCACCCCCATTGTCCTCATTCGTAGATGCACAGTTTATGTTCAGTCTCTTCCAGCACCCCCCACTCCCCTTTTCCCCAAGAATCGTCAGTTCACTCCCCTTCCAATCAGTTCACTCTGATTCTATTATATTCATCAGTTAATATTGTTCATCTGATTTTTTTAATTCCCTTGGTTTTTAGATTCACTTGGTTTTTTTTATTTTTATTAAATTATTATCTGTGTACATATCTTACCATTACCCCCCCTCCCATGCATACCCTCCCTCCCCAGAGTTTTGTATCCATTGCTTGTACATATATGCAGCTATACAAGTCCTTCAGTTGATCTATTATCTCCCCCAGATCTCTCTACACTCCCTGCTGTAATTTGTCAGTCTGCTTGTTGCTTTACTGTCTCTATATCTATCTTTTGGTTCTTCAGTTTATAATGTTCTTTATTATCCATAAATTAGTGAGGTCATGTGGTGTTTCTCTTTCATTGACTGGCTTATTTCACTCAGCATGATGTTCTCCAATTCCATCCAGGTTGCTGCAAATGATGAGAATTCCTTCTTTTTTATGGCAACATAGTATTCCATTGTGTAGATGTACCATAGTTTTTGGATCCAAGCATCTGCTGATGGGCACCTAGGCTGTTTCCAATCCTAGCTATTGTAGATTGTGCTGCTATGAACATAGGGGTGCATATATTCTTTCAGATTGGTGTTTCTAGTTTCTTGGGATATAATCCTAGGAGTGGGATTACTGGGTCAAATGGGAGTTCCATTTTCAGTTTTTTGAGGAAACTCAATACTGTTCTCCAGAGTGGTTGCACCAGTCTGCATTCCCACAGCAAGCAGTGCATGAGGGTACCTTTTCCTCCGCAACCTCACCAACACTTGTCGTTTGTTGATTTGTTGATGTTGGCCATTCTGACAGGTGTGAGATGGTACAGCATTGTTGTTTTGATTTGCATCTCTCAGATAGTGACTTTGAGCATGTTTTCATGTGCCTCTTGGCCTTCCTTCTGTCTTCTTTTGAGAAGATTCTATTTAGTTCCATTGCCCATTTTTAATTGGATCATTCATTTTCCTTTTATTTAGTTGTATAAGCTGTCTATAGATGTTGGAGATTAAACCTTTATCAGTGGTAACATTTGCAAATATGTTCTCCCATAAAGTGGGCTTTCTTGTTGTTGTTGATGGTTTCTTTTGCTGTAAAAAAGCTTTTTATTTTTATGCAGTCCCATTTGTTTATTTTCTCTTTAGCTTCCATTGCCCTAGGGGCAGTATCAGTGAAGTTCTTTTGGCATACATCTGAGATTTTGCTGCTTGTGGATGCCTCTAATATTTTTATTGTTTCCCGTCTGATGTTTAAGTCCTGTATCCATTTTGAGTTTATTTTTATGTATGGTATAAGTTGGTGATCTAGTTTCATTCTTTTGCTTATATCTGTCCAATTTTCCCAACACCATTTATTGAAGAGACTGTCTTGACTCCATTGTATGATGGTGCCTCCTTTGTCAAATATTAATTGAGCATAGTGATTTGGGTTGATATCTGGGTTCTCTATTCTATTCCATTGATCTATATGTCTGTTCTTGTGCCAGTACCAGGCTGTTTTGAGAACAGTGGCTTTGTAATACAGCTTGAAATCTGTATTGAGATCCCTCCTACTTTACTCTTCTTTCTCAGGATTGCTGTGGCTATTTGGGGTCTTTTATTCCAAATGAACTTTTGGAGAGTTCTTTCTAGGTCAGTGAAATATGCCGTTGGTATTTTAATGGGGAGTGCATTGAACCTATAGATTGCTTTGGGAAGTATGGACATTTCGATGATGTTGATTCTACCAATCCATGAACATGGTATGTTCTTCCATCTGTTTACATCTTCCTCTATCTCTTTTTTCAGTGTCATGTAGTTTTCCACATATAGGTCCTTTACCTCCTTAGTTAAGTTTATTCCTAGGTATCTATTTTTTTTTTTTTTTTTGGTGTGATGGTAAATGGGATTGCTTTTTTAGTCTTTGTTTCTGTAAGTTCACCATTGGTGTATAAAAATGCCATAGATCTCTTGGCGTTAATTTTGTATCCTGCTACATTGCCAAATTCATTTATTAAGTCAATTAGTTTTTTGATGGAGTCTTTTGGGGTTTTTATGTACAATATCATGTCATCTGCAAATAAGGATAACTTTATTTCTTCTTTTCCAATTTGGATGTCTTTTATTTCCTCTTCTTGTCTAATTACAATGGCTAGTACTTCCAGTATTATGTCAAACAGGAGTGGTGAGAGTGTGCATCCCTGTCTTGTTCCTGTTCTTAGAGGGAATGGTTTTAGTTTTTGCCCATTGAGTATGATGTTGGCTGTGGGTTTATCATATATAGCTTTTATTATGTTGAGGTATGATCCTTGTACTCCCACCTTGTTGAGAGTTTTTATCAGGAAAGGTTGTTGGATTTTATCAAATGCTTTCAAGATTACAACAATCCTTTGAAGAGATATTGAGATTAAACTGACTATGACATGAATGCTCTTTTATGTCATCAAAATTCCAAGAACATGATGACCAGGTACAGAAAACATGCGTACTTATTTTACCTAAATATTATGTTAGGTAGTATGTAAATATTAGCTAATGTTTTTCCTCACCACAAGGGTGGAGAACCTATTTTCTGTCAAGGGCCATTTGGATACTTATAACATCACTCATGGGCCATACAAAATTATCAACGTAAAAATTACCCTGCTATATTTGCTCAAACATTTAATTAACTTTCCCCTAATGCCTTGGCAGGGCCAGACCAAATGATTTCATGGGCCTTATATGTCTTGCAGGCAAGACAATACCCATCCTTGCTCTAGAAAGAGTAATTACTTTTCATTCTCAAAGCAATGTGTTCATTTTTTTTTTTCCATTCAAAAATTCTCATAAATGTCATGGAAATTTGTGGCAATGGGGAAAAGATCCTGGGAAGATGATAAAGTAGGAATCACAAAGAATCTGTCTTCCTATTTAGATAACAATAGCACTGATAGAATCTGTGTGATATAACTATTTTGGAACTTTGAAGTCTATTCAAGGTTTGCAACTTCCAGGGAAAAGCTTGAATCATAAATTCTTTGCACAAAAGCAACTACCCACCTCCCACACTGCAGAACCACCATAGGCAGCTGTGCACATGTTCCTGGAGCAACTAACACACAGCCTGTTGGAGTCAAGGTGGGCAAAGAAGACCCTGTTCTCCAAATACTGGGTTCTGTTCTCTGATCATTGATTGCTGCTTCTGATCACAGAGGGCAGGCAAAGAAGCAAGTGGCATTGTTGTTGACCAATCCCCATTATTGCATGCTCCATCCTCTCCAGCTGTAGTGAAGTCTGGGGATTTAAAAGATCAGCATTTCTTCTTACTTCCTCTTTATGTTTCTCTTTTTACCCTTTTGGGAACCAGACATTAAAAATTAAGAGATCTACAACAAGACACATTATAATCAAACTTTCAAAAACAAAGACAAAGAGGATCTTGAAAGCAGCAAGAGAGAAGTGACTTGCCACATACAAGGGATCTTCATTAAGACTGAGAGAAGATTTCTCATCAGAAACTTGAAAGCCAGAAGGCAATGGGACAGTATATTCAAAGTGCTAATAAAAGCAAACAACATCAACAAAAAAAACATCTGTCAGCCAAGAATCTAATATCCAGCAAAACTGTCCTTAATATGTGAGGGAGAAATTAAGACTCTGACAGATGAACAAAACCTGATAGAGTTTGTTACCAGTGGATTTGCTCTATAAGAAATGTTCAAAGGCATACTGCAGGATAAAATAAAGGACAGTTGACAATAACATGAAGCTGTATGAAGAAGTAAAGACCTCAAAAATGGTAAATATGAGAACAATTCTAAAAGCTAGTATTATTGTAACAACAGTTTTTAACTCTACTTTTTATATTGTACTAGAGAACTAGTGCATGAAATTCAAGCACTCGAGAGGAATTGGGGGGGGGGTCCCCTCAGCCTGGCTTGTGCCCTCTTGCAGTCCAGATACTCTTGGGGGATGTCTGACTGATGGCTAGGAGTCGGCCTAAGCCATAAGTCGCTGCCACAGAGGTGGGAGAGGCTCCTGCCACCGTGGCTGCACTCACCAGCTGTGAGCTGGGCTTCTGGCTGAGCAGCACTCCCCTGTGTGAACGCTCTGACCACCAGGGGGCAGCTCCTGCATTGAGCATCTGCCCCTGGTGGTCAGTAAGCGTCATAGTGATCCATCGTTCTGCCATTCAGTCAATTTGCATATTAGCCTTTTATTATATAGGATGTGATTTAGGAAACTGATACATTTTAAAAATAATTAGTCTAAAAGCCAGCATTATAATTTTAATTTGTAACTCTACAGTTTGTTTTCTTCATCATTTAAAAGATTAATACATTTTGCCGAAACTGGTTTGTCTCAGTGGTAGAGCGTCAGTCTGCAGACTGAAAGGTCCCAGGTTTGATTCCCGTCAGGGGCATGTACATTGGTTGTGGGCACATCCCCGGTGGGGGGTGTGCAGGAGGCAGCTGGTCGATGTTTCTCTCTCATCGACATTTCTAGATCTCTATCTCTCTCCCTTCCTCTCTGTAAAAAAAAATCAATAAAATATATTTTAAAATAAATAAATAAATAAATAAATAAAAGATTAATACATTTAAAAGAATTATTAGTATATATTTTGGTTACAAAATGTATAAATATGTAATTTTATAACAAAAAATTAAAGGGGTAGGAATAAAGTTGTAAAAGCAGTTTTTTTTATGTTATTGAAGTTAAGCTGGTACAAGTTCAAATTAGAGTGTTATAGCTTAGATTGTTAAATGTAATATCCATGGTAACTACAAAGAAAAATAGCTAAAGAATATACACATAAAAGCAAATAAGAAAGGAATTTAATGTTTCAGTACAAAAAAACTTAACTAAACAGAAAAGAGAAAGTGATTCAGTAAATGAGGGACAAACAGCTATAAGGCATATAGGAAACATATGACAAAGTAAGGCCTTTCTGATCAGTCATTACTTTACCGTATGCGTGTTGTTAGGCCTGAGAGCCTCTTCCATCCTTGTCAAGGGGAGTGCTAACCTTCTCTCCTTTCATACAACACTGATCAGTCATTAATTTAAATGTATTATAAATGCATTAAACTCTCCAGTAAAAGTATAGAGATTTGCAGAGTGGATTAAAAATATGATCCAGCTATACAGTATGTTGTCTACAGGAGACTCTCTTTACTTATTTATGTGATAGAGGCCCAGTTCACAAATTTGTGCAAAGGTGGGGTCTCTTGGCCTGGCCGGTGATCAGGGCCAATCAAAGCTATCTCACCCAGTCCTTATTAGAGCCATTGGAGCCAGCCAGCTTGTGGGGGCAACTTTGGGAGGTTGGCCAGCTGGCTCCGATTGGGGCTGATCTGTTTGGATTGAACCGGGAGGGGAGAGGGACCACGGCTGGCTAGGGGGGTGGACCATGGGCGGTTGGCTGTGGGAGAGCACAGACCATCACAGGGCAGCTCCTGCATTGAGCACCTGTCCCCTGGTGGTCAGTACATGTCATAACTACCAGCAAGTTGTCTGGTCATCTGGTTGTCTGGTCATAATGGTCGCTTTGGCTTTTATATATATAGATTAGAAACCAGGATCACTGGCTATTATTTTTCTAATATGTGGTACTAATTGTCTCCTTCAGGATGGTCTCAGGTGTACCTACCAATTAAAAATGATTTGTGATGCTTAGACTTCATTTTTATTATTTACTAGAGGCCCGTTGCAGGAATATTCCTGCAATAGGGCTTCCTCCTGTGGTCTCTGCCCTGCCTGCCTGCTTCTCTCCCTTCTCCCTCGGTTCACTTGCTTGCTTCTCTGCAGCTTTGCTCCCTTATGCAGCACTTGGCTTCTTTCTACTCTGTCTTCAGTCTTCACTCTGGCCTGGATATGCAAATTAACCATCAGCTTGGTTGGGTTAATTTGCATGCCCACCCTGATTGACTAGTAGGCATGGCTTATGGGTGTAGCAAAGGTACGATCAATTTGCATGTCTCTCTTTTATTAGATAGGATTTTTTAAAATTAGTATTAATTATTTAAATTTATCTTTGTTTTTGAAAGTATTACAGATGTCCCTCTTTACTCCCACCACTGACACCCTCCATCCTGTACTCAACTCCCCAGGCCTACTGCATTATTGTAAATTTTATTATCTTTTAATTTTATTGCTAAATTGCAGTTGGTATTCAATATTATTTTATATACTAGAGGCCTGGTGTATGAAATTTATGGACTGGGGGAGGTGTCCCTCAGCCCAGCCTGCACCCCTTTAATCTGGGACCCCCTTAAGGGATGTCTGACTGCCGGTTTAGGCCCGATTCCTAACTGGCAGTCGGACATCTCTCTCACAATCTGGGACTGCTGGCTCCCAACTGCTTGCCTGCCTGCCTGCCTGATCACCCCCTAAGCACTCCCCTGCCAGCCTGATCGATTGCTTAACTGCTCCTCTGCCAGCCCGATTGCCCCCAACTGCCCTTCCTTGCATGTCCAGTAATCCCAACTGCCCTCCCCTGCCAGCCTGGTCCCCCACAACTACCCTCCCCTGCCAGCCTGATCGCCCCCAACTGTTCTCTCCTGCAGGCCTCATCGCCTTCAACTGCCCTTCCCTGCAGGCTTGATCACTCCTAATCATATCTACGTTGGCCCCTGCCACCATAGCTTTGTCTGGAAGGACGTCCAGATGGATGTCCAGTTGTCTGATGTAATTAAAGGGCACATGCTTGGGTTGCAGGCTTGATCCCCAGTAGGGGTGTGCAGGAGGCAGCCAATCAATGATTCCCTCTCATCATTGATGTTTCCATTTCTTTCTTCCTTCCTATCTGAAATCAATAAAAATATATTTTAAAAAATAATATTGCAATGAACATAGGGCTGCATATATCTTTTAAAATTAATGTTTTGAATTTCTTCAGCTAAATACCCAGAGTGAAATTGCTGAATCATATGGCAGTTCTATTTTTAATTTTTTGAGGAACTCCCATACTGTTTACCATAGTGGCTGTACCAATTTGCAATCCCACTAACAGTACACAGGGTTTTCTTTTCTCTACACCTCCAACACTTGTGATTTGTTCATTTATTTATGATAACCATTCCAACAGGTGTGAGTTGATATATCATTGTGGTTTTAATTTTCATTTCTCTGATTAATAGTGATGTTGAGCATATTTTCATATCTATTGGCCATCTGTGTGTCCTCTTCGGAGAAGTGTCTACTCAGGTCCTTTGCCTGTTTTTTAAATTGGATTGTTTGTGAGTGTTGTTGTTTTTTGGTGTTGAGTTTTGTATTAATAAATTCCTTATAGATTCTGGATATTAACCTCTCATCAGATGTACCATTGGTGAACATGTTCTCCCATGTAGTAGGTTGTCTTTCCCTTTCGTTGATGATTTCCTTTGCTGTGAAAAAAACTTTGTATTGTAATTTGATATAATCCCATTTGTTTGATTTATTTGGTCTTGACTCTAATTTTTTTTATGGAACCAAATATGAAGGCTCCTAATATTCAGCATTAGAGGTTAAGTTGTACCATACTAGCTGAAACCTGTTTGGCTCAATGGATAGAGCGTCGGCTTGGAGACTGAAAGGTCCCGGGTTCAATTCCGGTCAAGGGGATGTACCTTGGTTGCAGGCATATCCCCAGTAGGGGGTGTTCAAGAGGCAGTTGATCGATGACTCTCTCTCATCGATGTTTCTAACTAACTCTCTCCCTTCTTCTCTGTACAAAATCAATAAAATATATTTTTAAATTAAAAAAAAAAGTTATACCATACTAGAAAGGTAATATTTCACTTGGTTTGCAATATTACAATGTTGACTCATTTAAAAATAAACAAACAAACAAAAACATTTTATTAGGGAAAATGTCAAGTATTTACAAAAAATTAAAAAGAAGTCAGTGAAGCCGAAACCAGTTTGGCTCAGTGGTAGAGCATTGGTCTGTGGACTGAAGGGTCCCAGGTTCGATTCCGGTCAAGGGCATTTACATTGGTTGTGGGCACATCCCCGGAAGGGGGTGTGCAAGAGGCAGTTGATCGATGTTTCTCTCTCATCAACGTTTCTAGCTCTCTGTCTCTCTCCCTTCCTCCTCTCTGTTAAATATCAATAAAATATATTTTAAAAATAAATAAAATAAAATAAAAATAAAAAGAAGTCAGTAAATAATGAATCTCCCATATATTTATAATCTAGCATCAACAAGTATTGGTTTACAGTAAATTTTATTTTATCTACATCCCACCAAACTTATGTCTTCCATCAGATTATTTTTAAACAAATCCAAGAAAATATATAATTTCATGCATAAATACTTTAGTATGGATCTCTGTATCAGTTATCTATCACCTATATAATAAGTGACCCCAAAACATAGAGGGTGGCAACAACAGTCAGTTATTTGCTGAACAACAATCACTTCTGCAATTTAGGCTGGGCTCACTGGGTCATTTCTTTCTAATGGTCTCCCCTCTGGTGATTCGTGCAGCTGCAGTGATCTAGCAGCTTGAGTGAGGTGGGTCTAGGATGGCATCACCCTGTGGGGTCTTGGTGCTAGCGGCCAGTGGGGACTCTCTCTCTCTCCATGTCATCTTCCATCATTCTATTAGTCTAATTCTAGCTTCGTTATGTGGCAGTGGCAATGTTTTACGAGAGTGAAATGGAAACTCTAAGACCCCCTTGAGGTCTAGGCTTCAGACCCCACACAGCTTCACTTCCACATCATTTCACTGATCTGAACAAATCATAGGGAGAACCATCTACAAGAGCAGGAGAGCAGCCGCCTTCCCTTCATGGCCAGGCTTTCACTCTACCACAGTCTCTTCAAGATATCGGCCCAAGCCGATTTGGCTCAGTGGATAGAGCACTTGCCTGTGAACTGAAAGGCCCCAGGTTCGATTCCGGGCAAGGGCACATGCCCGGGTTGTGGGCTTGATCCCCAGTGAGGGATTTACAGGAGGCAGCCGATCCACCATGATTCTCTTATCATGGATGTTTCTATCTCTCTCTCCCTCTTCCTTCCTCTCTGAAATCAACAATATATATATATATATATATATATATATATATATATATATATATATATATATATATAAAATATAAGGTTCTGATTTTGAAACAGAATTACAATTTAGATCTTAAAATTATAATATTACTACTATATTTCAGAATTATAAAAGTTGTATTAATACAAATATAATGGTGTTCTGAAATAGGTTGTTTTTTGTTTGTTTTGTTTTTGTAGATATTATCAATGGGGATTTGAACCTGAATAGAAACACAGTAATATCCAAGGTTTAAATTCTATTGTGTCTAAGGGGGCTCCTTGATAAAGCAAATTAAAATATATCATGATTAAAAGAATAAGGAACCTCCTCTGGGAAATTCTGCGTTTAAGTTACTGCTGTTCACTTTCTAATTTTCTGAATAATAATGCAAATGGACTATTAAAATGTTTGTTCACATTTCAGTTTCTGAGAGTTTAGAGAGAGAAAGAAACTAACTGGGGCAGTCTTTGACCTCACCAGCGACAATCCTAAATGTGCCTTGTGATAAGCCACAGCAGCTGCAAGTCTATAAGTGGCCCACAAATCCCAAAAACCAGGAAGCTGGCCAGAAGCAGCCTCTGTCCAGCTAATAGGGCTCCTGCCAATGTCATTTTAAATTGTAGAGTCACTTTATTAACTACTAAGGTCATTGGTACATAACTGAGATTATCAACTGCAAGAAGATTTTTAGAAAAGAGCATCAAACTACTATACAAAAAAATAAAATAAAAAGAGAACATATAAAACAATAAAATCTTAGTAGACTATGAGGGCGGAAATCCTTAAGGGATCTGGGAGGCAGCATGACTAGCAGCATTCCTAAAGGTGAAGGGCCCTGATTTTGAAGTAGGCAGCTTGGTCCCTGTTACTGTCTGACCTTAGGCAGGTTACTTAATGGCTTGGAATGTTTATTTCCTCATTGTTGCTTTGGGAATAAATGAGATAATGTACACTAAGTACTTTATGGCTTGTTTGGCAAATCTAAGCAAGAGATTCATGATAGCTATCATTGGGAAGCA